CGTCTGAAAAATCAAATTGTGAGTGATTATATTGGGGGCGACACCAGCTTGTGTAATAAACCGGTGAAGTGAAAGCAAATCGGAATATTTCGATTGGCGAAGCAGTGCATTGAGAACGGCATTGACGGTGAAGATCGTGGGACGACAATTGGAGTAAATGGAATGGCGGGTGAAAAGCGCAGCCTCTTCAAGATCATTTTCACGAATGAGAGTAAGAATGCGGTTGTGGAGGTTAAGACGATTACCAGAGAGAGCAGAGATATGCTCAGGGAGTTTGGGGGCGTTAGGGTTTTGTGTGGATTGAGGCTTAGGAGGCTGCGATTGTGGGCGAGCGGCAGAGGAGGAAGAGAGCGGGGGCTCAATGCGGAGGCGGCGCTTTCGACGGCGTCGTTCGGCAGCAGCTTCCTCCGGTGATGCAAAAGAGAGAAATCGGAGTGTGACGATGGGAGGTGCCGGAGCCTGGTGCAGTAAATGTTGGGACCTGGTTAGGGTTTTGAGGTGTGTGAAGAAAGTCGGCTTAGATAATGCCATCGATAAATTTCGCCGGAATACAGAGAGACGGCGAGGAATTAGGGGTTTTGGCCCTCTTTGGTGACGATAAGGGTTAGACAGGGTTTAAAATTAGGGAACGGATTTTCTTTTTTCTTCTTTTTTTTTTTTATTTTTATTTGTCGGCCCGTTTCGGCCCAAAAGGCCACAATGCCCATCGTGGTAATTGGGCCATTGAGTTGAGTTGGGTTCTTGATCTAACTCAAGCCCAACTCAAGTTTGATGAGTCCAGATTTTTTTTCCCGTTTTATTTACTCTAATTCAGTGAATATTAAATTAATAAAAATACTTTTAAATTTTACCTTTTATCTCAAAAATATTTTTTTAATTTTCAAAATTTTCAATAATATATTTTAAATTTTTTTAATAATATCTTCAATCCATTAGAACATATGTCTTTAAAGATAGTATTTAAAAAATAATAATTATAACAAATGTTAAACACATATTTTAAAACTCTATGTTCAACAATTCTATACTCCGAACACCTTACTCGGTTTAATGTAATATCAAAACTGTTAATGAAAGTCATTTTATACGACACTTTTTTCTACGAGATTGATCAAATTCTCAAATTTTAGTTGAGCAATTAAATCTTTGACCTGATGCCAAAAAAATTTATTTATTGAATAAAAAAGTCAACAAATTAAAAAGGTGAATAGTTTGGCCTGCCATTTTAGAAAATGATTAACAAAAGAAATTGAAATGGTTGTCCATATTATTTACAAAGGAAAGTGTCAACTTTGTCATATTATTATTATATATATATTGTATCCTCAATTATTATCAATTTTCTTCAAATAACAATTAATATTAATTGTTTACTATATTTAACAAAAGTCTACTGCACCAAAATTAAAATATTTGACTTTTGAGAGATGATAATACATGATTTTACTATAAATATTTAATTATGTATCTTTGTAATATATAATAAACTATTGTCAAAATAACTTATTGGTAATTTTAATTGCTATTAGTATATATATATATATATATATTAAAATGAATGTTAATTAATCTCTTAACGGGTACTATATTACTAAATTATTGCTAAGAATAAAATTGGTGTGCCTAACTAAGAAGCGTCAAAATTTTATTCAAAAAACAGTTTCCACTAGGAAAAATTAAATCAAGAATCCATTCCTTTTACCCAATGCCAAGAATACAGGAATTTGGAGACACAAAAAGCGTATCTCCTCAAAGGAATCAATAATATTTTAATGTATAAATCTTGATCATATTAAAATTTCTCTTCATCAATCAAATGCAATATTAAAAAAAAAAAAAAGTATATTTGATAATTCACCGATAGAAAAGTTTATTCTTTTTTTTTAATTAAAATATTTTATATTTATAATGATAGAATGCATTTAAATTTTAGAATATTGCATATATGATTCGTGTTGGAATTAAATTCCATTGCAAAATAATAGAATAGAATTCAATATCTCTACCAAATAATTTAAAATATAATTGTTTACATTATTAATTCTACTATAAAAACAAGTGATAAGTGATATTGATATTGTCTAATAAATTAATTTGAATAATTATATTATTTGTAAAGAAATATATGGGGACGGTCCTTTCCCTTTTAACTATCTACGTTCATTTTCTTTAACTAATTATTTTTCAAAAATTTTAATATAAATATGAAAATAGCTTATAAAAATTCTTCATTTTCCTCGTATTATTTACCAAAAGTAAAATAAAATTGAAAAAATCTGGTCAATTTTGCATATCTTACCTACTTCATTATTATATATTATTTGATTAAAATAACAATTAATGTGTAATTTTAATTACTCTACTATTTAAATTTGGTCTCTTTCCATTCATCACGTTTGCAATAATATAGGTGGATGAAAGAGACTTTTTTTTTTTTTTTTTTGAA